AGATTTTTCGTTTCATTTAAGTAATCAAGTGGCCGCAGTATGATCAAGGCACAATTATTGCGCAGTGGAATCAATATTGACTTAAAAAAGCGGAATAATATTACGTCAAAATTATTATTATTATTTTTTATTTTTTTTTATTTTTTTCTCTCTCTCTCTCTATCTATCTATCTATCCATCTCTATCTCTCTCTCTCCTTCCCCCCTTATCTATTTGTCTTTCCCTTCCCATCTCTCCTGTAGGGGCAATTACGCAATTGGAACCGAAGACGACCATCTAAGAATTTGTCATTAAGGCAATGCCTGGATAATCGCCCAATCAGCATCTTTGTCTTCCTATCTCTCTTATAAGACCAATAAACTTCCTTCACTGGAACGATAGTGTTGCAACACCTCACGAACAGAAACTCGTTGCAACACTTTGCGGCGATACTCCTCGAAAGTTTCGAATTGAGCCTGTCTTTGCAGATTGTAATCGAGATGAATGGCCGCATCCACACATCTCCAAGTGTTCATACTCGTATTCAATTTCGTTGCTGCTTCCACAATATCTTGCACCCTGTAAGAACTGTCAAGATAGGACAGGTGTGCAAGTGTCTTTTTCGGACCAATAGATTCAACAGAGTCGTACATGGTAATGTTAAAATTAGAAGAACTTGGTTGTTCAAATGGTCCTGTATGGACATCCAGATGGTCTCTTAATGGCGTATGAGCGGACACAACACAACTGACAGGAGACGGAGTAGCCGTAGCGGCCGGCAAAGCAGAAACAACAACAAAAGTAGTGACAATCGACGTTGACATGTTGGAGGGTGAAGCATAATCCGCAAGACGTTGAAAATTTGGAGGAGAGGCTGCTTGAAGGGGGATTCTACGGACCGGAGCGGAATGAGGAGTGGAAGAAGCAACCACAGGAGGAATCCTTTTAAGAAGCTGTTGTAGCCGCGCATATTTGTGAAAGGCTTGGGGAATGGTCACTTCTGTCGGACAATGCAACAAATCAAATGTCATCCTAGTAATCTCCTCATTAGACAGGGCGATGAACTCATCGTTCAAAAGTGATTGCAACATGGAAGAACCCTCCAAATCCGAAACATTCAACCGGTCTGAAGGAAGAGGGAATCGTCGTTCCAACCGCATATTAGTGAGTTTGTTTCTTTTCCGCTCCAGGAAGTTTTCCCATATTCGTCCATCTTTCACGACTGTGACACTTTTGACAAACATTTCAAAAAACACCTCACTCAAGACATTTTGGATGCCAATCTTCTTCGCATCGGCAAACCATCTAGCAAGGTAAGAGCGCAGATTCGGAATGTGAATTGGGGGTGCATCGTTATCATCGGGCACCACAATAACCCCCGGAGGATTTTGTGGTTGCGATGTGGCGCAAACATGTCTTTCGCGTCCACTGCGTTGAGATTGCGAAGATGAATCATGAACCCGGTACGCCCAGCAAGCAGTGCATAAAACGGAAGAGATAAAGTGCATCATCAGGAAGCGCATTCAGCGCTCTTACAATCTGAGTTCCCGTTTCATCAACAACAGGTTGTCGTCTCACCCGATTATCAGCCAAGGTAGGCTCCGCCACTTCGGGGGAATCCAAACGATTAGTTTTCGCACCACGACTCTTTTTCCTCTTGAAAGTAGATTCAACATAGTCTTCTTTCGAATCGCCCGTAACGGTATCATCCTCATTATCGACAAATGTAAGGTTAACAGGCCCACCCGACTGACCTCTACGCGAACCATCCTCATCGGCACGACAATCGTCACCACCCCCCTCCACAACCATGTTCTCAGCATCATCAAGGGTATTCCCTTGCGAACATCGACGTTCAACCTCACTAAGAACATGATGATCGTCCCGAGGATGTTCACTTCCAAGATTCACCGACCTCTCATCATTTCCACTTTTCTTCGACCTCTCCGAATGTTCGGCTCCAGGTTTTGACGTAACATTCGTATCATATTGAGTGGTCTTGTTGTTTCTCATTGCTTTCCTCTTAGCACGAGTGTCGTACTTATGCGGCATTCGGGAGTCACCTGCAAAGAAAGAATATGATAGAATTATTTGGAATGCCAAAGCTCGATGAAAAAAAAAAGGACTCATCCCAAAAGTTCATGATATACAATGTTCTTCGTGAAAAAAATCTTATCAGGCAACGCAACATGGATGTTGTTGAGATGGCCAACACGCGACAAACCAACATACAATTGGCCATGCGCAAAAACCGGTTTGCATAGCCAAACCCCGACATGCGATACGGTTTGTCCTTGCGACTTGTTAATCGTTATAGCAAAAGCAAGACAGACTGGAAATTGCCTCCTAAACCATTTGAACCCAGTTGTCTCACCATCGCTTGTCAGATCAATCTTGGGGATCAATGTTGTTTTACCCGTGTGCATTATTGTCACTTCCAACAAAGCATCATTAACGATCTTCTTCAGAATCAACCTTGTACCGTTGCAAAGTCCTTGCTTCGGTGACAAATTTCACAAAAGCATCACAGGCGCATCAATTTTTAAGCGCAGCTTGTGAGGTGGAAGGCCAGATTCGTCGAGAGAGTTTGAGAACTCTCGCTCAATACCAAACCCGATATCATCCGAATCAGGATAATCAACGTTGAAAAGGTCACGCACCTCCCCAGGGAAGTCGTCAAGAACACGGTTGTTAACAGAACCGACATCGTCATTAGTAGGGCATAGAATTAGTCGAGGCAAGAAATACTCGGCATCCCCCACATGGTTCGACACATTATCAAACGTCCATGAAATCAACTCATCAATTGGTTTATCCGTACAAATCTCACGTGACAATCTGACCGTAGCAGGTTCATTAGGAACAACTCGCGAATGGTCACCATTCCCAATACGCATAAAAAAGTGGGCATACATTCGTGCCATTTCATCATTCCCTAAGCTTAAGATTCGCATATTTTCGGTTAGTTGATGAACCTCAAAAAAATTTCCACAAAGAAGACATTTTCATGGACGCATCAATTCGTTGTGCTCGCGACCCGTGTTTCACAACGGGCAAAACCTGTCTAAAATCCCCCGCTAGAAATAGAACTTTCCCACCAAACGGTTCGTCATTGTTACAGAGGTCCCGAAGCGTGATGTCAAGAGCTTCCAAGTGAAACTTGTTACTCATCGGAGCCTCGTCTCAAACAATCGAGTCGGCACGACAGAAAAACTCTGCACGATCACTTCGTTTCGCAATCAAGAAGGGACGTGGGTTATCAGGTTTTAAAGGTGCGCGAAATTGTGAGTGAAACATTCGACCCCCTGTCAAAAGAGTCGCCGCTATGCCATTGGTCGCGACGACCAGTGCAATTGCAAAACGTGACCTGATACCCGCCAAAATTGTTTCAATGCAAAAAGTCTTCCCTGTTCCAGCCGGTGCATCGACAAAAGCACGCAACGGTCTTTTCTCTTCCACAGTCCGAACGGCTCTTTCCACCAACACTCGTTGACGTGAACGAAGACGTCATAAATTGGACTCATATTTGCGTTGCATTTGAATCGGATCATACCACAACTCGTCGTTTAGAATCGAGGATACAGTTTTGTTCTCTTAATGTCTGGTTATGTTCTCAACAATCGTTTCCCCGTCGGGTGTTGGATAATAAAGGCAAAACTGACGGATGTTTTTTTTTAGACTCTTGCAAAATACGGTCAAGATGGAACAACACTCAAGATTGCAAAATGTTCGGCGGAACAATTTCATTGCCTGCGCGATACTGAAAATCGTCACACATCTTATCCCGATGTCGTTCGAAGAAACGGATAGGATCGTTCACCGGACCAAACGCAAGAACCATAGCAAATATTTTACAAACTTCTTCAGACATGTAATGCGCAGCGGCTGTGTCTATGCATTGATCGTATGCATCGTATGTTTGCAAAAGGCCCAATCGAAGACACACAGATTGGAACGAATCGTATTCGACTCCGTCCACCGTACGAATTTAGGCAAAAGAGCGTACCCAACGAGATTGTTCATGGTTAGCAACACACGCAGATAGAATCGTTCCCCTCCCGTGATCCTCACGTGATGCAACCGAGATATCTTTTCAAAGGGACCACCATGAAGGTCACGCTTTCTTCGGTTCCACTTCTTATGTTTGTTATCCCACACATGAGTATTAACGATTTCTGTGTAAAGAGGAAGCTCCTCTTTAGGAACACGTTCGTTCAAAGAGTTGTGTTTTATCCATGTCGTCAATTTCGTTTTCGGGGGCCCATTTTGAAACAATGTCATGCTCAGTCCCAGGTTCGAATTGCACTTTTTGCATGTTTTCGAGATGCACGGACAATCTTTCCACCGCAGGCCATTGTTCTGCAACATCGAACTCAAATAGACGCCAGCATGCTTCGCATGCATCTACAACACGCATATCTTGATGCAATTTAACCTCGTCAATGGACGCATTATTATCTTGCTCGCAAACCATAGCACGATCGCACCCTTTGTACACATACTTATACACGTACTTGCACGCCTTGATGTTAGCACAATATTAAACATTCAAGTGACAATTAAACCTCATTAGCGAGTACGGGTTATACGGGACCTCACGCCAATTGTCGTAAACGACACCATTTTGAACAATCGTAAAACCACCGTCACTTGGTTTCCCTCTCCTATACGAAGGGTACGTTTGTTCGTCTTTGAATGTTGTTGTTGAAATGAAATCTTTCGGAAATCCTTTTGTGCATTCTCTGTCCTCCGTACACGAAGCGTCGTATTTCTCCGCACCACAAATCCCGTGCAACATGAACTTGACCAACCTTTCTTACTATTCCCCTTCCAGAGGAATCTCGACACACACCACATTGTCAACAACATCCGCATCCCGAATTTTATTATCCAGATGCAGGATAACCAATATATGTGCGTGTGGTAAACTCCTTTTTTGAAACTCCACCACATACAACATTCCACTCACCCTACCAAAGATCCGTTTGTTCTTTATCTTATCAATCAGCTGTACAAGATAACCTTTGAACACTCGCGCAAGAAGATCCGGCCTTTCGTTGGGACATTGACCTGGCAACGAGGCTTGTTTGATCTCCGACCAATTAGTGTTGCACGTCATAGTGATGAAAAAATACGGTTTTCCGAATCGCCTCACAATTGCCATGCTGTCGTGATATCTTTCACTCATATATCGGGACACCCCAGTTAACGTTGACGGTAAAACCACTTTTGTCCCAACACCCTCACCACGTTGATTTTGTTGCACAGCGTCTCGTAAATCCTGATAATACTCCGAGCGCAATTCGTTTTGGTGGAATCTCACCCATTTTAAGCGGAGGGATTCAACTTTAACGTACGTCATGCAACAAAACTCGTGGAAGAGACGCGCTGCATAAAGGAGGCAAGGCCTTTCACCATCGCGCTCGTGAAGGTGAAATGCATAATACCCCTTGGCACTAAGTCATGGCGACCATCCAACTTTCGATGCACGTCGAACAGACCAACTATCAATTCCCTCCATGAAAAGCAAAACAAACCTTAAGCTGTCGTGCGCTCAAGAATATTCTGGAACCACAACGGTCTGCCGCTCACCCGGAAGAGGAGCACACAAACAAATCTCGAGCTCACGAGGAAGGAGTTCATCGGCCATCAGAACACACACCTCATGTAAACCCATAGGACGGTTATTATGCCTTGCATGTTCCTCATCAGGCATGGCATCCAGATTTATCACCAACTTCCTCCCGTTCAACGCTTCCGGCGGAAGGTCAACAACTGTCATAAAGTCCTTCACGTAATTGTTACATTGTTGTAGCAATTCGTGACACCTTCTCAATATGCGTTTCGCTCGATCAAGTTCGACATCGGATGTACGTGCAGGTAAGTTAAGGAAATCTACCCTTTGGTCAATCGCATTGTCCAAACGTTGAGAATCGTGCAAGTATACTTGCTTAAACTGAGGACGTTCTCCTTCCCCCACAGCCAATGCACCGACACGATGAAAGATTGGACCTTGAGCCCTAAGTTGGCCCTGGAATCCTCGAACACCATCGCTCGGCTGCTTCAACCGTGAGGATGCGAGGGATAAACTATTATTAATTATCCTCGCATTGTTTCGAAGGAATCCACCGTCGGAAGTTAGAGACGTCCAAAGGGAAAGAATCTCATGCTCCGGGGAGCCTTCGCAAGGCCATTCCCACAAAGGACAATGTTTTGTACCTTTTCGGCAACACATCTTGTCAGAAGTTTGAGACATCCGTGGCTGGACCGCTACATGCCATACGCATTCCACCCCAACTTCCTTCGCCTCACCAACCCCCCCGACACAACAATCGACATCCCCTATCTCCCATATCCGACCTCCCAAGGCTCGGTCACCCCACACCAATTCGTCCACATGGCTCGCCTAAACCCCGACCCCGCCTACTATTGTCTTGTTTTTTATCGCGAAAGTCCCGAGGACTTACTCCCGACGGATAAACCCGATCAAGCCCCCCCCTCTAACCCCGCCATCACCTCAATCCTCGACGAGTTCAAGGACGTCTTTCCTGAGTCCTTACCCGCCGGACTACCTCCGGATCGTGGCGTATCCGATACCATCGATTTGGAACCCGGACATTCTCCACCTTGCCGCCCTCCATACCAACTCTCTGCCCCTGAAGTCGAAGAAATGAAGCGGCAACTCAGTGAACTCCTTGAAAAAGGGTTCATTAAGCCAAGTTGATCCCCCTTCGGAACCAGCTGCCTTTTCGTAAGAAAGGTGGAACTTCGAAACTCCGCATGTGCAAAGACTACCGCGCCTTGAACCGGATCAATCAAGAACAAGTACCCCCTACCTCAGATTTCCGAGCTTTTTATTCATCTCCGTGGAGCCAAGTATTTTACCAAGATCGACCTTCGCAGTGGCTTCCACCAGATCCGTATCCGCGAGGAGGACACCCACAAGACCGCCTTCCGCTCTCGGTTCGGGCACTACGAGTTCCTCGTGATGCCATTCGGACTCACCAATGCCCCCGCTGCCTTCCAATCTACCATGAACCACATCTTCCACAACCTCCTCGAAGTCTGTGTCGTCGTCTACCTTGATGACATCCTGGTCTTCAGCCCCACCTTCCAGTCTCACCTTCAGCACCTCCGCCAAGTCCTCTCGATCCTCCGAGAGCAAAAATTATACGCCAAGCTCAACAAATGTACGTTTGCTGCTTCGAGCGTCGAATACCTCGGCCACATTGTCTCCGCTGAAGGCATCCGTATGGATCCCTCGAAGGTCACAACCCTCTCGGATACCCCCCACCCAAGACCCTTCTCCAACTTCGTTCCTTTCTTGGCCTTGCCAACTACTATCGCCATCATCCTTGTCTTCAACCCCACCTTCGAGTCTCACCTTCAGCACCTCCGCCAAGTCCTTTCGATCCTCTTAGAGCAAAAATTCTACTCCAAGCTCAACAAATGTACGTTTGCTGCTTCGAGCATCGAATACCTCGGCCACATTGTCTCCGCTGAAGGCATCCGTATGAATCCCTCGAAGGTCACAACCCTCGTCGAATACCCCCCACCCAAAACCCTTCTCCAACTTCGCTCCTTTCTTGGCCTTGCCAACTACTATCGCCCGTTCATTCACAACTTTTCCGAGATCTCTTACCCCCTCCACGAACTCACACGCAAGGACGAGCCCTTCACTTGGAACGATCGCCGCCAGCACGGCGCATGCCTTCGATCTTCTCAAACAAACCATCACCACAACCCCCGTCCTCAAGATCGCCGACCCCACCCGCCACTTCTATGTCACCACTGATGCCTCCGACTTCGCCATTGGAGCCGTACTGTCCCAACATTTCCCCCGCGACACCGCCGAGACCCCCTCCATCAAGGACTCGCTCACTCACCCCGGGGCTCCACTTGGCGAATACCCCATCGCCTTCACAAGCAAGAAGCTCCTTCCCGCGGAGATGAATTACCCCTTCAACGAGAAGGAACTCCTCGCCGTGATTCACGCCCTCATAGTCTGGCGCCCATACCTCGACGGGCAATACTTCACCATCCGCACTGACAACACCATCGTCTCCTCCATCCTCTCCAAGAAAGATATCACTCCACGCCAAGCCCGTTGGCTAGACTTCCTTGCCCACTTCACATTCACCATTTGTCATACCCCCGACAAAAGCAACCGCGTTGCGGATGCCCTCTCTCGACGATCCGAACACAAGCCCCCCGAGAAAGTCTTCACCGCCATGACTCATATCCAACTCCTCCCATCACTCCATCACCGATACACCCAAGGCTACCTCTCTTGCCCAGACTTTGCCACCATCTACAACAAGGTCCGTGATCTTGACCCAGTCCCCGACTACTCCCTTCATGACAACCTTCTCTACATCGATACCAAAGGCACTCGCCGACTTTGCATCCCCAACGCACGTGGTCTCCGTACTCAACTCTTGGCCGAGCACCAAGACGCCAAGACCGCAGGACACCTCGGTTTCCAAAAAACCTCCGACACCATCACCCGCTACTTCTACTGACCTTCCCTGCTCGCGACGTCAAAGCATACATTCGCTCATGCCCCACGTGTCAAGCTGTCAACCCCTCGAACTGGGCCGAACCCGGCAAGCTCCAATCATTGCCCATCCCACTCACCGCTGGCAGTCCATCTCCATGGACTTCCTGTGCGGCCTCCCCAAGACCGACCGTGGGCATGATTGCATCTACGTCATTGTCTATCGCTTGACCAAACGTGCCCACTTCATCCCTTGCACGGCCTCGCACAGTGCCAAAGACGTCGCCACACTCTTCTYCGACCATGTTGCTCGCCATCACGGCCTCCCCGAGAAGATCATCAGTAACCGTGATCCTCACTTCCTCTCACAATTCTCGAAACGCCTCTTCACGGCCTACGGAACCACGCTAGCACTGCATTCCACCCACAGACCGATGGACAAACAGAGAAGATGAAAGATACTCTCCAAAGAATCCTGCGGAAGTATTGTCATCCACACTAACACGATTGGGATCAGTTGCTCACAGCCGCCGAGATTGCCTACAACAACGCCATCTGCCCTTCCACCGGCATGTCCCCATTCTACCTCTTGTTCCCTTCGCAGCTTAACCCATCCACCCCCTGCCCCTCTCTCAATGAATGGGTAGCAACAATGAACAGAATCCTGAGAGGAGTCTCCGACGCCATTGAATGAACCCAAGAACAACAAGCCAACAAGACTAACAAACTTAGACGCGACGTGTCATTCAAAGTAGGGGACAAAGTCTGGCTCTCCGCCAAACGCTTTGAACCCGAACACGGCTTGTCCAAGAAACTCTCCAACAAATGGTTCGGTCCCTTCCCCATCATTGAACAAACCTCCCCCGTCAACTACAAACTCCAACTTCCCCCTGACATGAGTCGTGTCCACCCAGTCTTCCATGTCGAGTGCCTAAAAAAATATAATGAATCCCCGCCCCAGTTCGCTGACCGCCCATATCCTAG